GCCATCAAATAAGTAGACCAGAAGACTTGCTCAGTAAAATTAAATCAGCAAGAGCATAAACTCATGCAAGATCCACACCTGGATAAGGCACAGAGAGTAGGGTGAAGTCAGCATAGCGTTGGGCTTTGTCCACCTTTTCTGAGGAGGTCACACTAAAGACAAACAAAAAATTGTTCAGGGAGTAAGATAAAAAACAAAAAAAAACGTCAAAAAGTCCACATGCAATTGCATCATATTGAACCCTATGACATTGACCAGGGTCCAAAACTAACTCCTGCAAGGTCCCAACTCCCAAATGTAGGATAATTCTCCATAATAAACCTGTTCCACTGTTCTGGAGTGCACATTTAGGCAGAGAATCCTTCCTTTTATCATTTACTGTCAACATTTTATACTTTGGCACAAAATACAAAATGAGATTCAATACAAAGATTAAGAATTGATTGACAATTGGCTGGTAGACGAAAAAGTTCATTTTGGGCTCATTTTGGATACTGGACATCCTCCATAATTTATGGCACACACCACTTACTAAAAGTCACAAAATGGCACGTCGTATTTTAACATCTCTAGACGAAGCATTCTAACATGAATGTAACAGAAAGTTCACTCACTTGAGGCCAAACTTGACCTTCTTATTCTCCACCATGAGGTCACAGATGTAGCGTACAGACAAATACTTCAACAGCTTAATGTCAGAGCCCCTAACCTTATCAAACAACTGTGAATCACCATTGCTGTAGAGTGAAAAATAAAGAGCAGAAAAGATTCTTTCAAAACATACAAAAAACAGCAGTTAATTCACAGGAGCATGCCACAATCACTCCTTATGTTCATAACCATCTGTGTAACTCAATCATTTTAGCCTCTTTTTTGATTTGTGTTCCTTGCAGACAGTTTATCTTACCGAACTGCACAGTCATCTTCCAGAACCTCTTCAGCTTCACCCAAAGAGTCGTCTGTACCCCCTGCAACAATTTCAGGTTAAATCCGATGCAATCCAGCAAGCAATTTTCTCAGCTACTGTACATCTATAGTTGCAATCAGATTTATTAGCCCCCCTGTTTATTTTTTCCCCAATTTCTGTTTAACGGAGAGAATATTTTTTAAAACACATTTCTAAACATAATAGTTTTAATAACTCATTTCTAATAACTGATTTCTTTTATCTTTGCCATGATGACAGTAAATAATATTTTAATAGATATTTTTCAAGACACTTCTATACAGCTTAAAGTGACATTTAGTGGCTTAACTAGGTTAATTAGGTTAACTAGGCAGGTTAGGCTAAATAGGCAAGTTATTGTATAATGATGGTTTGTTCTGTAGACTATCAAAAATATATAGCTTAAAGGGACTAATAATTTTAACCTAAAATAATTTCTAAAAAATAAAAACTGCTTTTATTCTGGGCGAAATAAACAAATAAGACTTTGTCCAGAAGAAATAATATTATCAGACATACTGTGAAAATGTTTTTGATTTTAAACATCATTTAGGAAATATTTAAAAAAGAAAAAAAGTTCAAAGAGCGTTGAATAAGTCTGATTGCAACTGTATATTGCCCCACAACTAAATCTCTCTTGATGATCAAATTGTGTTGCGGCTGCATTACTTTGAATGTGTGTATTTTAAAGTACATCACATTGTGTGTGTGTGTGTGTGTGTGTGTGTGTGTGTGTGTGTGTGTGTGTGTGTGTGTGTGTGTGAAAGAGAATCAGGCACTAACATGAGCTGCAGAGTGTCAGAGTAGAGCTCATTAATATTCACAATCATTCCAAATATGGTCAAAAGAAGTTTTTCAATCTAGGGCTAATTCATGTTATTATAAATGAACATATAAAACCATACCTGGTTGCCTTTTTGCTCTTATCTAAGCCCCATACTTGTTTAGATATCTGTAAAAATTTAAAGGTGCAGTAGGTGATTGTCTTCAGAAACATTTTATGTTGTGCTGGATAAAAGTCTCTTCATATTATGATAGCACTGATTAAAATAAATGATCTAAATGTATTTGTATGTATTTTTATATTCTGGTTTAGGCCTAATACTGAAAAATGTTCATCCAACTAAAAATTGTCGAGCCGACAAATAACTTAATTGTGACAGGTAACTTAAACTGTCTGTCAACAAATTTAAATGTGTATTTCTGCGCAGCCTCTTTACGCAGACAGATACAAAATTTGCACATACACATGAAGCATGGCCACCCCACAGCTGACAGAGAGAGGCAAACTCTGCATCAATCTGACAGACTTCTTTCTAAAAGACCAACGTGGCCTTGTATCTATGAAAAGAAAGATTGTTTTTGGAAGGGCTTCTGCCAAAAATGCAGAATCTTTTCTAAATCCTGAATCAATCTCGCAATTCTTTTTCGACACTGGAGGGAAATGGCATTATGCAGTTCAAAACAATGATCTGAAGGATGACACCAAGGCTGAAGTATTACTTTTAGACAGGTATGTTTTAAAACTATTTTACTCAGGCAAAGCTTATGTAGATTGTATTCTTTTTAAGGAATGGGTTCTGAATGGGTTTATATGAACAGAGCTATTTTTCAGCAATTCTGGCAAAATACTGACTTCACGGAGTACCTTTTACAGCATCAATAATACAGTCGGTAAATAAACCTAAGCATTTAGTTGTTCAAGTCTAAAACAGGCAATGTAAGAGGATCAGCGAGCACAACTGAAAATGAAAAGTCACTCATTGGCTTGGTAATGTAGGTGTAATGTAAAACGATGACAGGGTATTTCTGTTTTTAGCACTCCTTTTCCTCTGATCTCATTTACATTTAGTTGAATAACGAAACGCAAGTAAATATCGCTCTTCGGCCTAACCAGCATTACTGAGGTGTAAGTTTGATTTATATTTGCACCATTCATTCATTTTTGAACAGTGACAGCCTGTGGAATGCTTCCACTCTATCGTTACTTTGACTGTTTAGTCTGAAATAGCGTGTAGGTATGACTTCAAAACAACACTAGCACTGTTTCATTGACTGTGAACATTCATTCATTCATTCATTCATTTTCTTGTCGGTTAAGTCCCTTTATTATTCCGGTGTCGCCACAGCGGAATGAACAACCCACTTATACAGCAAGTTTTTACGCAGCGGATACCTTTCCAGCCACAACCCATCTCTGGAAAACATCCACAAACACATTCACACACACACTCATACACTACGGACAATTTAGCCTACCCAATTCACCTGTACCGCATGTCTTTGGACTGTGGGGGAAACCGGAGCGCCCAGAAAAAACCCACGCGAACCGGGGAGAACATGCAAACTCCACACAGAAACGCCAACTGAGCCAAGGCTCGAACCAGTGACCCAGCAACCTGCTTGCTATGAGGCGACAGGACTACCTACTGCGCCACTGCTTCGCCCTGATTGTGAACAATTTTGTATTTTATAGTCATTGGCTGAAAATATAATTTCACTATTTAGAATTTGCAAACAAATACTTTTCTGAAATTATATTATTAAGGAGAAAGTCTGAATGTGCAAATATAAAACCAACTTTACCCCAATGCCAGTTTTGGGGCAATATAATTCCTGCTCCCGCTGACCTATAAACAACTACACTGGACAAAGTGCGTGTCTCCATAGAGTTTTCTAACTGGAGTTTTCTAACTAGTTTTCTAACATGTTAGAATGTTTTCTAACATGATCTAGTGTTATATAAGGTTGTCTATCGTCATCAGCTTTGGAAGGTAGAGGATTGATGTCAATTTCAAAGCTATTATGCTAACGCTAGCATTCTGGCAGATCACCTACTGCACCTTTAACATTTTGAATTGATGCACTTTATGGCACCTTTAAGATTTGTCTTTCTGTCTGTCTTCCAACTTTTGTTGTCTTCAAATTGTATTGTTGGTAGTGTAAAGAGGAAAACAACACAGAGCTGAAAGTGTACCTGAAAAAATGTAATTGTATCCAGTGCGTCCATAAAGTTCACCCCAACCGGCTAGTGTAGAGGATCGACACACATGCTACAACACAAGAGTAATAATAAGAGTTTAGGGCTGCCAAAACAAAACCACAAATCTGAAAAAAGTGCCCCTGGAAAAGCTAACTACAGAGGAGACTGGAAACTGCTTTGAATCTCCCAGTAAATTATACCAACCTTTAAATTCAAAGGCTGAGTCCAGAACTCAACACTTCAGTACTAAAGAATCCCGACAGCCAGATTTCACAAGAAAAGATTCAATCTGTTATTGATTCTGTGAATTATCTATCAATATATTTTATGGGCATGTCCGACAAAAATATCAGCAGTTTATTACATCAGCAATGCAAAGCAATAGAAAGCATCTGGCGGTCTAAAGCGATACTATGTTGCAAATACTGCAGTGAAAATTGAATTGGGGCGACAAGATAGTTACCTTTCCATTGTAGAGGATGACAGGGCAGACAAATCTTCCTCTACAACGAGCCATTTTACTGCGATTCACCAGATCCTGCAGCTTACTGATCTGCACTGTACTCTCAAAACTGGGGGAGGAAAAATAAGAAAAAGGGAGTTTTTTTTTAACTAGTGAGAGACCAGCATATCAGCTGATATTTTACCATTTGTTTACAAGATCAGTCAAGAATTTTGCCCACTTGTACAATAAAAAATAGTCATAATATAAGCATACACCTTATACCAAAAACATGTCTTCAGATTATGATTTGTAGTTTTAGAACGATAGGATGTATACAATGCTCAGCATATATGAGTACACCCCTCACAAATCTATCTTTTACATTCATATTTTTAATAGGAATATTTTTAAAATTCCTATTAAAAATGTAATATTTCTATAGGAATATTTTTTATATTTTTAAAAATGTATTGTATTTGTGCATATACACTTGAGGTCAGAATTATTAGCCCCCTTTTGAATTTTTTTGATTTTTTAAAATATTTCCCAAATGATGTTTAACAGAGCAAGGAAATTTTTACAGTATGTTTGATAATGTTTTTTCTTCAGGAGAAAGTCTTATTTGTTTTATTTCGGCTAGAACAAAAGCAATTTTTAAATTTTGAAAAAACATTTTTGGGACAAAATTATTAGCCCCTTTAAGCTAATTTTTTTCCCGATAGTTTACAGAACAAACCATCATTATATTATAAAAAAAAAAAAAAACAGGGGCATTAATAATTCAGGGGGGCTAATAATTCTGACTTCAATTGTACATTAGATTAAGCAGTACTGAAACCAAATCTGGAGCTTATCTAACAAAATAACTTATAATAATGGTCCGAAAACTAATACACCCAAATATATGTCATAGAAAAATATAAAAAATACAATTTCAAAAAATAAGAAAAATAAAGAGAAAAAAATGTTAAACATTTTGGTAACATTTTGTAGGCTGAAATTTTTTTGCAATATTTTGCTTAAATTTATTTATATTATCTTTCAATTTCTAAATATGTTTAGTGAGTAAGATATTATTTTAATAAATATACCTGTTTAATAAATCTGTTTAGTTTAAATGCACCAAAATACATTGCCTTTATTCACTGAGAAATTCATTTTCAAAATGTGGTGTATTCAGTTATGCTAAGCACTGTATTCAATAGTAAGTCTTCCTACAGTGCCCTTAACTACAAATGTGGCAATGCACAATGAACCAGTGCAAATAGTTTACAAGTGATTGAGTATACATATATATATATATATATATATATATATATATATATATATAACTACACTGCAGTTCCATCTTTCTATTTTAGCATTTAAATGAACAATTTAAAAGAAGAATTCTGTAAAATCTCATATGCAAGTAACAGGTTTGTTGCTCACCTCATTTGATTTTCTCTCAAGAACAACCTAAATTCATCACAGAGTATATTGTACATATCAAAGTGGTATTTGGGTAAACTTGAAAAATGATCTTCAATTGTGTTTCGCTTTTATACAGTTTCTTTTGAGGTTTGTAACATTTCATTCCTTCACTAGCCTTGATGACCTTTCCAAGAGCACTCTTTTATAGAACACTGGAAGACTTCTACACGTAAACATATATGTGTGTAAATTTACAGGCCAAAGGTTATCCAATCCTTGTTTTGTTTTAATGTATTTATCATTTAATCTGAGATGTGGTACAGTTTTGCTTCCAACAAAGAGCTTTTGTGTTGTTCTGGGGATCTGGACTCTGGACAATTTTTGTGCCTAGTTCTTGACTTTCTCTACCAATATGTCCCTGTCAGCTCCTCTGTCCTATCTACTGCAGCTCAAGCCAACAAACAAATCAATAAAAAGAATGTGTATATATTTATAGTCCAAAGAAAATAGTATGACATTCTATCTAACAGAAAATTACAGCATTTAAATTTGTCATGTTGGAAATGCTGAGCCATATATTAAATATATCAAGGTAGTAGGTCGTAAATGGTCAGATAATATGACATTTACACTTACTAATACAATAACAAGCATCCAAATGTATTATTTAAAATTTATTGTATCATTAACAAACAGAAGTATTCCTGACAAGCTGTCTGTTTATCAGATTACGCTCAATATGTATGCTGAAATGTCATTTGACTGTCAATGGCAACAAATTACAATTTTACTGAAATACCATATATAAAAATCAAGTATTTGTAGATTTTAAGACATGTCGAAGAAAACACACTAAAGGAAATTTCTGATTACATTTACTCACACAAATTTTGTTTCATTCTGAGCTGAAATCTTTTTTATTTATAAAATTTGAGAGAATTCTGTTCCCTCCACTTAAAATGTACTCAATCAGAACTCTATTATTCATTCATTCATTTATTTTGTTTTTCAGCTTAGTCCCTTTATCAATCAGGGGTTGCAACAGCGGAACAAGCCGCCAACTTGCCAATCCAGCATATGTTTAATGCCCTTCCAACTGCAACCCAACACTGGAAAAACACCCACATACTCACACAGCATGGCCAATTTTGCTTATTCAAATCACCAATACCGCATGTCTTTGGACTGTGGGGGAAACCGGGGCACTTGGAGGAAACCTATGCGAACACTGAGAAAACATACGAACTCCACACAGAAATACCAAATGACCAAGAAAGGGCTCGAACCAGCAACCTTCTTGTTGTGAGGCGATCATGCTACCCACTGTGCCACCGTGACGCCCTAATTAAGAAAATAATTAAGTAAAAGATGTTTTCAATGGAGATGCAAAAATGTATTATTAAAAGTATATTTGTGTAATGAAAACGAATGTTCTCACCTAATCAAGCAGCATAAGGGTGTGTAAGGGTGCTTTCACACCTGTGAATCGATTCAGTTGTTCCGAAACAGAGATTAGAATTGTTACATTGTTGCTCTTTGCTCTTGGAGCGGTTCGCTTTCACACTGCAAAGTTTCTAATCGGACCAAAAGAGCTAAAACAAGTCACGTGCGAGTAAACTCTCCTTACATTGGTCAGAGTGTCAGGGTTTATTTTGCAGCGTCACGCTCAGCTGTCAGGAGAGGTGGTGGTTTGGTGGTGATTGACAGGGTGCGCGCGCATGACGTGTCTGAGGGAGAGACACGGTGGGGAGGGGTGAGAAGGGTGCGCGATGATGCCTATTTGAGGACTGGGAGAGAGACACGAGATTACCGGGAGATCATCACTTGTTTGCGGGCATCCGGAGACTCGCGAAACTTCCCGCCCTACTCATAATTCTCTCTTCATATAGCCGTAAGCCTGTAAACACTGTGATATAACCGCGCTCGGATCGGATCGCTTTCTCACTGTAATCAAACCGCTCCAGGGTTCGTTTCAATCGAGCCGAGACCACCTCATTCAAGCGATCTCGGAGCGATTACTTTGGCACGGAACAGAGCGCGATTGCCCTGTTCACATATGCCAATCGAACCGCGCTAACTGGGCAAACGAGATACGTTCCGAAACAAAAGTGTAGGTGTGAAAGCACCCTAAATTATAATAGAAGTTTTATTCTTCTAACAGAGCAAGGAATATTTCATATTTTAGAAATAATATTTTTTCTTCTGGAGAAAGTCTTATTTCGGCTGGAATAAAAGTAGTTTTAATTTTTAAAAACCATTTAGGTCAAAATTATTAGCCCATTTAAGCATATTTTTTTTCGATTGTCTACAAACCACCGTTATACATTAACTTGCCTAAATACCCTAACCTGCCTAGTTAACCTAAATAACCTATTTAATCCTTTAAATGTCACTTTAAGCTGTATAGAAGTGTCTTAAAAAATATCTAGTAAAATATTATGTACTGTCATCATGGCAAAGATCAAATAAATCAGTTATTAGAAATGAGTTATTAAAACTATTATGTTTAGAAATGTGTTGAAAAAAATCTCTCTGCTAAATCGAAATTGGAGAACAAAATAAACAGGGGGGCGAATGATTCTGACTTCAACTTTATAGTTGAATACACTTTTATCAACATAATATTTATTTTTTAAACAAATGGCAAGTTTAACATTGTTAAATGTATATTTATTTTGGAGACAATTACGAGAATAATCAAAAATATATATTTGCTTACTTTTGGTCTAAATGGATTGAGTATACACTGATAATATTCTTTGTGTACTGTAACTAGTTTCTTTCACGAATCTTTTCACATAATAAATATAAAAAACTTCTTCCCAACATTCACTTTCCTCCCAACTCTGTGTCTTCAGTAAACAAAAGGAGATGGTTCTGTTTACCTCTCTTTATTGTTGTCTGAACATTCATATTCCAGGAACACAATCTTCCGGGGGTAATGACCACACACCTCCCCATTGGTGTTGTGGATGATACTGTACTTGTAGTCCCGGTCAAACAGCTCCAGATATCTCTTCTCTATTCTCTCTACCTGAAAAAATACATATAAAAGTTTTGAAGCCTTTTGCGCATCCTTTTTACAGTACCCCCCCCCCCCCCCCCCCCCCACTTCTTTGCTTGTTGGATTCATCATTTCATTATGAAATATTCACACCTATTAAGGCATGCAAGCCAATCTCCTTTTCTTATTTTTAAAAATAGGGTTCCAATTATTTAAAGTTTGTCTTCTGAGCAGAACTTTACATAGCTTGATTGTGATGCTTTAAATTGAGGTAAATTTGGTTTTATATTCACAGATTCATTCCGTGAACACCACTACTACTTTGAACACCCACGCTACTTTGAATATTCGGTCAGAAATAGCATGCGAGTATGACTCAAAACAACAATATTTAATTGACCATGAACAATGTTGTACTTAGTCTTCGACTGCTAATATGATTTTCCTATTTATAATTAGCAAAGAACACTTTTCTGAAAATATAATATTAAAGAGAAATGAATGTGAGAATATAAATCCACCTTTACCTCAATATGCTTTAACTGATGTTCCAAGCAGAGTCACCTGTTTGTGAATTTTGGAATGGCCCACTGGCGGTATGGGAATCCTTACAGTTCCATTACAATTATTATTCTATTCTGATTAAATGTATAACTATATTTAAAAGTAGGACGATGAAAAGCTGTTTAAGATGCTTTCATCCTGATTTATTTAGTAAATACCAGCGCTACTGCTACAGGTCAATGTATTTACCATAGCAGAAAAGCACAACAATCATTTAAGTGTACAAATCACTGTGCAACCAGTTACACAACCACCACATGTAAAATATGAGGACGATTATGTCATTAACACAAAAGATGCTTATATAATATTCTACAACACCAAAACTATGGTGCTCACTAGGCATGGGACGATAACCCTTTTCAAGGTTTAGTAAAGTCAAGGTTTTAAAACCATCAAACTTTTCTGCTATACAGTCTCTAAGGTATGAGTATGATTTTTGTTAATTGCATTTTTTGTTTTTTTTGTTTTAGGACAGCAGTATCTCCAGCAGAAAAGATATATAAAGGTGCCCTTTTAAATTGTTAAATAAATCAGTGTTTTTAAAACAAATGAAGACAGCAGAAGTCAATAATTGATTCGAATTATTTAGCCTGACATGTTTACTTAATACCAAAATATTACAACGAGGAAAAAGGGGTTGTTTTTCACCCAGATATTTAAAGAGAAAACATTTTTAAAGCAGTAATCTCAATACCGTGATATTTATTCCCAAGGTTATCAGACCGTCAGAATCTTATACCGTCCCATGCCTAGTGTTCACATGTGAATGTTCAAATAGGGTACCCTGAAAACCTGGCCCACATTCAATAATGTCACCTCTCACATTATACATATTTTTTATTGTTAGAAAATCTTTTTTTTTTTCTCCATCTGATCCATGACTGTGAACATCTGACTCATGAAATGTATTTCCCTTTGGAAGTTCCGTACAGTCACATGAGATAGAGGTAAAGTTGGTTTTATATTCATACATTCGTTCATTTAGAAGTCTCTATAATGTTTACCATGTTACTTTGAATATTAGATCTGAAATAGCATGCAAGTGTGACTTGAAAACAACATTAACACTGTTTATTTGACTATGAACAATGTTGTACTTTTATAGTCATTGGCTGCTAATATGATTTCACTATTTAGAGTTTGCAAATAACACTTTTATGGAATTATATTATTAAGGGGAAAGTCTGAATGTGCGAATATAAAACTAACTTTACCTCTATTCACATGAGCTGCTTTTATTTGCTTTCTAAATGTCTTTGTATATAATTTATTTTCTTTTGTAACAATGAATTAAGAAAAAGAAAGTCTTCTAACTTAGAAATTAAGCCAAAGCATTAAAGGCAATTAGCTTTACTTACACCACATGACATTCAAGTTAACTGTGTTAATGCATTTTTAAAAACGCATTAGCTTTTCAACGCTTGCCTTTAATACAATCTGGTAGGTGTTTATTTGTTGATATTTTGTTATCACGTCACTCATTGGCCCATTTCACAGCTACCTGACGTAGGTTTGCGGTGTTCAACCTTACCCCCGGTGTGACCTCCTTCGCCCTGTACTGGCTCTTGGAGAACACATCAATCAGATCGGTTAATTCCTCGCTCCTACTAGCCATCATCATCGAGCCGTCACCCGCCTTCTGCTCGATCCGAACCCGCCCTTCCTTAAAAAGCGCAGCTCCCTGATGCCGAGAGGATCCTCCAGGCCATCCCTTCAGGGCAAGCTTCTTCCTCACAGCCCGTTTTAAGGCACCGGGGCCGGAGCCGGGAACACGTCCCGAGTTCAGGGTCCTGGCAAGGTGATGCCCCTCCACAGCACTGGTGATCAAAATAGCCCGTTGCCGACTGTCTTTAACGACACGAGGAATACTTCAAGGTTTCTTACCACTGTAATTTCATCAGAAAGAAAAAACGAAGAGTTTTGTCCATTTATTAAGAAAACCACGCGTTGCTGTGTCCCTTCTTTTGCTGCCCTCACATCAAAACCCCGCATCCCACTGAAGTGAACTCAACACCCGGTCACCAATCACAGGAAACCCGCACGCTTTTCGACCTCAAGTTTTTAAAACGTCTAGATATCGTTGTGAAGACAATACCTTCAATGTTGCTTACAACGCCAGAACGATCAGTGGTGCGAAAATGCACACGAAAGAGCGCTTTTGTAATACTGCAATGATATTTAGCCGTGTTTGATGTAGCAAAGGAACTTTAACCAGGGCCAGTAGTAAACAGGAAACTGACGTGATCATGTGATCCATACTTCCTGAAAGGTACGTCAAGCGCAAGCGTCACCGAACCGGTTGTCATTTCATTCCCGATAGGTCGCTCTTGCATCGTCTTTTGATATTACTAAATCGTATGTTCGCAAAACCTGTTTTACTATAAATACCAAGATTAACGTTAATAATAAGGCTATCCGGACTCTTTTCCAAAGAGAAAAGTGTGGCTGTTACAACAGAAATGTCATGTTATATATAAAATTAAAGAAATATTCTATAAACTTCTCCACAGATTTTATCCAGCAAAACATTATTTTAAAACATTTAAAATCGGAATTGATGTGAATTGTATTTTTTTGTCAAGAATATGAGGAGACTGCTTTACACTTATTTTGGCATTGTGAATACTCAGTCAACTTATGGAGTGAGATGCAAAAAAAAAAAAAAAAACAATTAATAACAAATTACAGTGTTCTAAACCTCTCTCATGGTGTGAAAATGTACTTTTTGGCTCTACTGTGTAGTCAAGGGGAAACTAGTTTTTATTTAATTAATTTATTATTTTGCTAACAAAATTTTACATGCATAAATGTAAATTTACCAATAAGACACCAAAGTTTAAGGTATTGATGACTGAATTATGCTTATATTAGTAGTATTAAAGACTAAATAAGAATTTATAGACTAAATAAGAAAGCCCTACCCGCTTTAAAATGTTTAAAATGAACATTATTTATTGGATTATTACATGTACATTTTGTATATTCGTATTTGATTACCCCCTGGCATGTATAATTTTGTGCTGTTAAAATATTATAATAAAAAAAGATTGCTCTTGTTGTTATTAAAGCCATTCCTATCGCGTTTGTCTAATTAAAGAAATAGTTTATTCTACCCTTGTAACCCCAATTGTTATTCCTGTGTTAAAGGCTGTGATTTTAAAGCATGTAATTTTTTTTAAAAGATTAGAAATCTATTTAACAACATTTTATATCCTTTAGCAGTTTATAGAAATAAAATTTCAAATAAATTCTCTAAAGATACCATTCACATACTTAGAACTAAACATTTAAAGTTTCCTCTGTCTTCAAAAACTAAAGAAGTTCAATTTAAAATTTGAAGTGGGATATATCCATCAAATTAATATTTAAAAATTTGATTTATATTTGAGTCTAATAAATGTATGCTTTGTGATGATATTGAAACAACAGATCATTTGTTTTTTCACTGTATGTTTGTGAATGCATTATGATTGGTCGGATGTTTATGACTGGCTTTACCCAAAGATTCCACACCTCAGGGTCTTTAATTTGAATGACATTATTTATGGACCTGTAATGGACAGTAAGGAAGATGCCTTTCTAATCAACAACATCCTTATGCTTGGAAAATTTTACTTACATAAATCAAAATATTTGAAGGTGAAACCAATGTTTTGTGCTTTTTACAATGAGATTTTTTTCTGATAAAAAAATTTCTTAAGATAATAAAAACAAAAAGTGCAATAAATCTTCCATCTTTAATAGAAAAGTATAAATTACAGGAAATCCCCTGGTGCTTTTTATTTATTTATGTTATTTTAAGATTTAGATATGTATATTATTTTACTTATAATTATTTTCTGTAAAATATTATTTGTTCTTTATTTGCACCTGTATAAATTATAATCTTCTTATTATTTTTTCTCCGAAGTAAGACACCTGGTATGTTTTTTAACATCACACAGGACAATGATACAAAGCAGTAATTTCCCATTCCATTTGCTTATTATTATAATGATATAAAATTTGAACAATAAAAACACACTTGGAGTCTTTATCTAATAAAGTAATTATTATTTTTTTTATATTACAATAGAGAGGAACACTATAAACATAGCTGTTAGCAGTTAAAAGTCAGGAAAGGGTACACATTTTTGAAGTGTTTTCTAGATACTGCCAGACAATCTCCCTTATCAGATTCAAAAAAATAAATTTTTGAACATTTGTTGGTTTAAGCTACGTTTTTGTAAAGCAAAATGTGCAGGTGTCATGGGGGTATGTGGTTAGCACTGTCGCCCCACAGCAAGAACGTCACTGGTCCAAATACTGGCTGAACCAGGAGGCTTATCTGTGTGGAGTTTGCATATTTTCCCCATGTCTGCTTGGGTTTCCTCTGGGTGGTCCAGTTTCTCCACAGTTATGCGCTATAGTTGAACTAAATAAAGCAAATTGGCCATAATGTTTGGTTGGCTTAATGAATGGCTTATTCCCTCTTGGAGCAGGAAATAAGCTGAAGGAAAGTGAGTGAGTGAGTGAGTGAGTGAGTAAAGCAAAATCTGTTGAAGATGGTGACCCATGTTGGAGAGTAACTCATGAAATATATATTTTTTATTACATGAAGTTCTTATTGTTCATTTAAATATTTGTGTCTTACAAAAGACTTAAAGATTTATCTTACAATGAAATCTAGGACCAGAGGCTTGAGAATTTCCTGATAAAAAGGGAACAACTCGAACTTTGACTCCTTAAACGTCGACTTCATTCTGATAATAAAGGCTTGGTGAACATTTTCAGACAAACCACCAGTCAGTGATCTGCGGATATATGAAACATTCACGCATCAGTCATTGGAAAAAGAAGAGGTGAAATGCTTACAGAACAGGCATAAGCAGTTGTAGTGAATTTTGTTCAAAGGGAAATATTCATAATTAATTCTAATTCATATAATAATCTCAATAACATAATTAATTATCATTCATTCATTCATTTTCTTTTCGGCTTAGTCACTTTATTAATCTGGGGTCGTCACAGCAGAATAAACTGCTAGCTTATCCAGCGGATGCCCTTCTAGTCGCAACACATCACTGGGAAATATCCATACACCCTCATACACACACACACTCATACACTACAGTCAATTTTAGTATACACAATTCACCAGTACCGCATGTCTTTGGACTTATGGGGGAAACCGGAGCACCCGGAGGAAACCCACACGGACACAGGGAGAACATGCAAACTCCACACAGAAATGCCTACTGACCCAGCCGAGGCTTGACCCAGCTACCTTCTTGTTGTGAGGTGAACATGCTACCCACATAATTAACTATAATTTATAATTATAATTATAGCTAATAAAGAAATATAATTAATAAATATAATCACAAGCTACTATCAGTTTGGAGGAAGTTAATTAATTTTAATATAATACTGCAGAGCATGTAGCAGAAACCAGCTTGATTAGGGGGACTTTCATTTATGAGCAAAACACTGAAAAACATCAAATCTGATACAAGTAAGATCGTATTAACTACATGAAACAGTTAAACTAGCATAACTGACTCACATTCCAACGGTAGGAAGAGGGTTAAAGCTGAAGCATTACAGAATAAAAGCATTAAATTGTAGCAGTTTAACCATTTTTGCAAAGATTTTAAATTAAGAAGCTGATGTTTTCCTCATGCTGTAGATTTGCTGATTGTCAAGATTATAACGTATAAATTAATGAGATAAAGGTTGACAAGTGCATGTCTGCTACCACTAAGAATTTACATATAGGGCTGAGTTTCTTGAATGAGACTATTAGATGGAGATCATGGGTACCCATTGACCAGGGATAAAAACAGTCTGTCAGCCTGTTACTTAAATCTTCTGATAGCATGCTGTTGGTGTGTATGAAGCGCATCCAACATAGCTTCGTTTGTTTGAAGCCAGTCATTAATTATGGGAATGTTGGTGGGTTCTCCTGATCAGAGAAATAGATGGGGTTGAAATCACAACACACACTGAAAGGGATGTGTTGGAAGTGTGTGAAAGGAGTTCAGGGCTATTCTGCCTACATTAAGTCGCAGCACCAAACAGCTTGGTTCTGGTGGCAGTAAGTTTGTAGAAAGCATTTTATTTTCTGTTATACAGAAGAATTGACTACCCAATTACTCTGGCATGTATTTTATGTGGCGTTTGCACTTCCTGCTGCAACTAATGACTGAGAATACACTAACTCATGAACCCCCAGTGCTGGGAAACATCTATACATTCTTTTATTCACACTCATACACACATCACTCGTAAGTTACAGCCAGTTTGGTTTATCCAATTCTCTTATAATCCCATGTCTTCGGACTGTGGGGGGAAACTGGGGGAGGACATGCAAGCTCCACAGAGAAATGCCACCTGGCCCACCTACTTGAACCAGCAACTTTATTGACATAAAGTACCTGAGATGCCAGGATGACCAGAGCTGGGGTTTGAGTGGAAAGTCTGTAGTACTTTCTGCCTGATTGTTTGTGGGATAAATGTCTTGTTGGATGGGCATTTGGTTGTGGTCGGTTGTTGAGTTTGGACATGTGATATTGCCAGTTAAGCCTATATTTTGATATAACCACCCCAATTCCAGTGTTATAAACATCAATCTTTACTGCAAATGGCGGTTCTGGGTCTGGCATAAGAAGCCAACATGTAGATTTTGGCCAGTTGTGTAGACTTTCCTTTTTTTGTTGATCCAAGCCACACCTTGTGTTGCAACCCAGAAAGAAATCAGAGGTTTGGTTAAATTCACACTTTTCAACTTGACACATAACTTGTGTTCTATTAGTCATTTTAATACAGCTCAGACATATTCCATGTGTTAATCATAGAATCAAATGATGGTTCAGCATGTCTTTGAAGACATCATTGATAAATGCCTGGAATATGGACCACTGGCCAGTTCGAATAGCATATTCATAATGCCCAGTGCAGAAGGCTGTCTTTCATTCATCCCTTTCTTTAATTCTGATTAGGTTGTAATCATTGCAGATGTCGAGTTTTGTGAAAAACTTTGCTGTTTTAAAATGTTCTAGTGCTGCAGGAGCTAGTGGAAGTGTCTAACAATGCAATGACGCAGGCCACCATCCTTTTTTGACACAAAGAAGAAACCAGCAGAGGCAGGTATAAGGTAGATGGTCATATAAATCCCTTGTCCAGTTCCTTTCCAATAGAAGCGTTTATAGCTTTTGTTTCTAGTTGAGACTGGGGAAATATTCTCCCACTAGGGGACTTGGTACCAGGAATTAATTCCGTGGCACAATGCTCAGTTAAAATGTAGTTGGGCTCCCTT